ATTAGTCATCAGCTGAACTTGATTTAAGTACTTAATGCTCTCCTTGAGAGGTCGACCTGAGTAATTTGGCTTTGCAACAAAAAGTGAAAACTTTTTTTAATTTTAGAAAACAAAATCCTAAGAAAAATGCTAAATATTTAGTACAAATGCTACCAATTTATTTCATCAGCAGGATTTTACCTAGCAAATAAAATAATTATAATAAAATAAAATAAAAAAACATAAAAAATACAAATAAAAAATAAAAGTCTTTCAAATGTTTCCATCTGAAGTTCATATACCTGCAGTTCTAAAAGGGCTTCACTTGTAACGTATAAAGATGTATGACTAATTCTACTTACAAAGTAAACCTAATACACAGGACAGACTCATTACATGCAAGGCCGGATTTTTTATTTTATTTGTTATAATTGTGATGATCATGGCGTAGAGCTTATGAAAACCCCAAATTCTAAATCTCTAATTAGAATATTCTAGTGTCACACTCTAGACAGTTAATTAGTCCAAAATATTTGCTAAGGGTTCCTGAAACTTTAAATGGTATCTCAGTCTAAGTTGATTAAATAAAATAAATGGATATTCTAATACTTTTAGTTTCACCTATATCACAGCTGCTGCCTGTCCAAAGCTGGAGAGGAGCTGCTCACCCTGCAGCACCACAGACAGCTCCTACTCCAGCTCCCTTCCTTTCAGGACCTTGGACAGAGGAATGGCAGAGCATTGTCTTGTTCTGTGTGAACACCAAGCCCCCCCCCCCCCCCCCCCCCCCCCCAATGCGGCTCAGAAAATGGTCTCAACCCGGAAGTACCAAAAATTGCAGTTCCACCCTCATTCGCTGGTGACGCCGGGCTGGTGTCAGAAGCGAGCAAATCCTCATTGACTCCCATGTTAAAAATACCAATTTCACAGCAGAAATAAACATGTTTACAGCCTGGTACCAAAACATGTTTTTTGTTTAAATGATCTAGTTTACACTCATGACAACTCTGATGGAGGTGAATTTTTTCTCACTCTTCTGTTTAAGTGTATTAAAAGCCTAAAATTCTGTATAATTAATGAGCATCCGACACACGTGACCGCCGCCTCAGACCCACGTGACCACAGTGCTAGCTCCGTGGAAAGGCCTCAGTTGAGCCTCGGTCTGGCCAGGAAACTGTTTCAGGATTTTGAGTCTCTGTGTTTGTGTATTATTCTTTGGATATTTTTAGTGCAATTGTTGGACAAAATGACTTGCTGTGGCATTAATTGCATTAATAGAGCGTCCAAGGAGTCGAGATTTTTTCGGTAAGTTAAAGAGCAAGTCACCCCCAAATCAACTGTTTTTCTCTGATAAACTATATAAATGCGTGTCTAATCGTGCTGCAGACACGTGTAGTCAATAGTTTTGCACTTTAGTGCATTTTAGTTAAAATTTAAAATTTCTGCCTGAAACTGTCAGTGTTGTACCGTTGTCAGGTAAAAACTCTTCACTGCATTTGAATTTAAATCTGACATCGCCATTGGCTAAGAGGTATGCTATGATGTAAACTGGTAGATTATGATGTCACAATGTCGTGAGTGTGTGTATTTGTAGTGGCTCCACCCTCTCCGTCTGCTAGGCAACAGCGTTTGTTGCATTTTTCAAACATGAAGTGGGAGTGAAGTACGCTTCTTGTAAGGGGTGACTTGCTCTTTAAATTACAGTATATGTATGTATTTTAGGCCACTGCCGCCTTTAAACTAGCTGAGTTTATCGAAGTAGCTAGCTAACTATCATTTTAACATGTAGCATGTACTGTTTGACCATGAAATTTAGATGTAAAATACAGTAAAATAATTAATAGGGCATATGTCGATGGGTAAAAGGGTAAAACCCAGTGCATTTAACATAAAAATGGGTTGAAATATGACGGAACTCTTGGAGGGACACTTCTGTGTTCCATTCTTCCACCTGGTTCTCCCCGGCGGTCAGCCCGGTGCATGTCTGACCGATGCGGCGCCTACTAGCTGCTGCACGGGCTGACCTCTCTTGGAGCTCTCGGACAGGGCTGACCGCTCGTGGAGTTCTCGGACGGGGCTGACCACGTGTGGAGCTCTCGGACTCGTAGAGAGACCTGACCACAGAAATACTGCAGCTCAATTCCCTACCTAAATGCAAAGTTTGAGAGACGTGGCTCACTTAGGTCTGCACTGCCTTCGGGCTAATTTGTCAAGTTCACAAAATGTGGAACGGGATGTAAGGTTAGATGTAAGTTCCCTGTCCCGCTGGGAGGGTTTCAAACACTGCCTTCCTCTGCTGGAGACCGTGGCGCTCTGCCGCGGCGCATTATTCGGTTATTGTTACCGGTACTTGTCTTGCAATGTGAAACGCTTTGTCTCAGATTTTGTAAGAAAAATTAGATTTCCCCCCAAAATACGACTTATATATGTTTTTTCTTCTATACATTTAATGGCTGGTGCGACTCAGGAGCGACTTAATAGTCCTGAAAATACGGTACGTGAAAAATAGTGAAAACTTGCTCAAAGCAAAATGTATTGTCATTACGGAAATAACTTATAAACTTACCGATTTAATATTTTTTATTCACAGAAAGGTACTTCTCATGAAAAAGCGCCACAAATCTCCACTTGAACTCCATGCGGTCGATGGGTGTTCCACAGAGTTAGCTCCGGTTGTAGCTAGGTGGCTAGATCCGTTAGCTCGGCTCCCACCTCCGCGTTAGCTTTGGGTTAGCATCAGGTTAGCTTGTAGCTAGTTCGACCGGGTGTCGTCAGTTGATCCCAGCCTTACAGCCCCACCCTCAGCTCCACCTCTCTTCCCTTTTATGGAATTGTCTGGGCTTGACGGAACCTGTGACACGGTCAAAATGGCGGTGGTGGTCACCTCCCATTTTAGCACAAAAACTTGTTATTGGAGCCTATGGAAACCCATTGCCCATATATTAATGTCAATGGTGAAAATGAAGCAGTACAAGTGATAATGCTGCAGGATTTCATAATTTTATCCTTCTCAGCAGCAGCACTGCAGGTGCTCTCCATGTCCAACATGTGCATAAGCCAGGTCCTTAGTCAACTTAAAGTTGCGCACATTTTCCGCTAAGTTTTCTTTCATAAATCCCAAAGTTTGTGTGGAAAGTTGCTTACGCAGTTTTCCGACCTCGTTTTGTGCGTAAGCAAGCTTGATAAATGAGGCCCCTGGACTTTATTAGATACAGAAGCAGATAGATGTATTTAAGTCCTTTATTTAGAAAAAAATATGCATCTTCATCTTCTTCAACAGTGGACTGCTGTCCAGTAGCATGTGGAGATCATTTGAAAGACAACGGTAGAACACGCCCCACGACCAAGAGCCATTAATGGAGCATTCCCAGACTAATTAATATATTTATTTAGTAATAAATGATATATTTATTTAGTCTGGCTTGCCAGGCTAAGACGGTGGCTTTTCCCCTCCTCCCTCTGTGCAATAGTTGGTGCAGATGATTACAATCATCCCTGATTAGTTCGGGTGTGGCAGCCTAAAAAAGGCTGCGTATTGCACTCAGACAAGAGGAGAGAGATGACAGGGATCTGAGCTGTTCTCCCAGCTCAGAGGATCATTTGTTTTGTAGTTGCTAACTCATGTTTAGGAGAAATGGGAGAAGTTTGTGAAACTTCATGTGAGTGCCAGCAGTGTGCAGCTTAAACCCGCTGGGTCAGCTCAGAGTAGCTGACTCTTTCTGTAGACGGGTTATTTATTTATTGCGATGAGCTTGAGAGCTCTGGTTGCTGTGATTATGTTAACTTTAGTAGTTCCTGTCTAAGTTATGTAGTGGCGGAGTGCCTAGTTTACGGTATTTGAATAGTTAATGGTTTTATTTTCACAGCAACAGCCTATTGCTCGGATGAATTTAGCTGCAGAATGCCCTGCGTTTGTTGAAAAATACCCAGAGGGTTACTCTTTTAGAGTTTGTGTTTGTGTTCTAGTAATTGGCTGTAGGTGGAGCATTGCTCCTCTTTTTCTCAAATTTTTATCTTTCTATCTAGAAGTTCACCCTTAGTAGACTTGCATCCTGAGTTTGTTTAGTTTTGTTTATGTGTAAATAAAAATGTTCAGCCCATCCTGCACACGGCCCCTTATGTTACATCAAGTACAATAATAAAGTAATTATGCACACCTTGTACATTAGAGTTATCTCATAATTATTCGTATTTTTGTCAATAAACAACTTACATCGCTTCCTTTATTGAAGTGAAGAAGCTGGTGAGGCATTTGTAGGTCAATATTTTCTTTCCTGTGCTTAAAAAATTAAGTCATACACAATCTGTACATATTAAATTATCAAAAGTGGAAAATGATAAAAAATGTTACGATAAGATTTAGAAAAATACCATTTTTCGTAGTGACTAAATTTAGTTAGACAAAAGACCGCTTAAAAAGAGGAAAGAACTGGGTGGTCTCTGTTGGAGTAGTCGGGGAAATGATTGTATGAGACAGATCAAACACAGGGTTAATAACAGCACTTCACACTTATACATGCACAGCAGAGTAGATTAGCCTGTAAGTAGTAATGAGTTTACAGTCAAGTGTTTCACACACACACACACACACACGCACGCACGCACACACCCACACACACACACGCACGCACGCACGCACACACACACACACACACACACACACACACACACACCCACACACACACACGCACGCACGCACACACGCACACACACACACACACACACACACACACACACACACACACATTCTCCTAATTAAAACTCAGGGCTTTGAACTTAAGCAGCGAGAAACTGTAATACTGTTAACTGAATCCAGCGTAAAGCATTCCTTAAGTCTTCTCGAAATTCTACTCAGAACCGGGTTTGTTCCTTCTATCATGTCTCGTCATAAACACCCGATCACGATGTAAAAAAACCCCCACATATTTGAAGAATTTCTTTTAAGAAACACTTCTAAAAAATATGTGTTCAAAAGTTTTATATGCTGAAAATTTACATATTTGATCGTGTCTCATCCTTACAAAATGATGCTGGGGAGCTTTACAGCCTCCCTTTGCTGAAGTCGGTTCTGGGCCTCCCCCAGGTGTGTGTATAACATCTGCAGACACTGTAGAGGGTCGGGAGTATAGCAGGTGCTGCTCCCACACCTCTCCTGGCTCTCTAAACAGAACCTGACAACACAGACAGAACAAACATTGTTTTAAAATCACTCAGATTGGTTAAAATCTTCGTCTTCGTCGTCTTCGTCTTCCTCCGCTTATCCGGGTCCGGGTCGCGGGGGCAGCATCCCAACTAGGGAGCTCCAGGCCGTCCTCTCCCCGGCCTTGTCCACCAGCTCCTCCGGCAGGACCCCAAGGCGTTCCCGGACCAGATTGGAGATGTAACCTCTCCAACGTGTCCTGGGTCGACCCGGGGGCCTTCTGCCGGCAGGACATGCCCGAAACACCTCCCCGGGGAGGCGTCCAGGAGGCATCCTGACCAGATGCCCAAACCACCTCAACTGGCTCCTTTCGATCCGGAGGAGCAGCGGTTCTACTCCGAGTCCCTCCCGAATGTCCGAGCTCCTCACCCTATCTCTAAGGCTGAGCCCGGCCACCCTACGGAGGAAACTCATTTCGGCCGCTTGTATCCGCAATCTCGTTCTTTCGGTCATTACCCAAAGCTCATGACCATAGGTGAGGATTGGGACGTAGATCGACCGGTAAATCGAGAGCCTGGCTTTCTGGCTCAGCTCCCTCTTCCCCACGACAGATCGGCTCAGCGTCCGCATCACTGCAGACGCCGAACCAATCCGCCTGTCGATCTCCCGATCCCTCCTACCCTCACTCGTGAACAAGACCCCGAGATACTTAAACTCCTCCACTTGAGGTAGGACCTCTCCCCCGACCCGGAGGTGGCAAGCCACCCTTTTCCGGTCGAGAACCATGGTCTCAGATTTGGAGGTGCTGATCCTCATCCCAGCCGCTTCACATTCTGCCGCGAACCTACCCAGCAAGAGCTGAAGGTCAGAGCTGGATGAAGCTAGGAGGACCACATCATCCGCAAAAAGCAGAGACGAGATTCTCCTGCCACCAAACTCGACACACTCCACACCACAGCTGCACCTAGAAATTCTGTCCATAAAAGTGATGAACAGAACCGGTGACAAAGGGCAGCCCTGGCGGAGTCCAACCCTCACTGGGAACAGGTCCGACTTACTACCGGCTATGCGGACCAAACTCACGCTCCTCTGGTAAAGGGACTGAATGGCCCTTAACAGAAAGCCACCCACCCCATACTCCTGGAGCGTCCCCCACAGGGTGCCCCTGGGGACACGGTCATAAGCCTTCTCCAAATCCACAAAGCACATGTGGAGTGGTTGGGCAAACTCCCATGCCCCCTCCATCACCCTTGCAAGGGTATAGAGCTGGTCCACAGTTCCACGGCCAGGACGAAAACCACATTGCTCCTCCTCTATCTGAGATTCAACTATCGATCGGACCCTCCTCTCCAGTACCTTGGAGTAGACCTTTCCAGGGAGGCTGAGGAGTGTGATCCCCCTATAGTTGGAACACACCCTCAGGTCACCCTTCTTAAAGATGGGGACCACCACCCCGGTCTGCCACTCCCTAGGAACTGCCCCCGATGACCACGCAATGTTGTAGAGACGTGTCAACCATGACAGCCCTACAACATCCATAGCCTTGAGATACCCAGGACAAACCTCATCCGCCCCCGGGGCTCCGCTGCTGTGTAGTTGTTTGACTACCTCAGCAACTTCTGCCCCCGAGATCGGACAGTCCATCCCCAGGCCTCCCAGCTCTGGTTCCTCCTCGGAATGCGCATTGGTGGGATTGAGGAGCTCCTCAAAGTATTCCTTCCACCGTCCGACTATAGCCTCAGTTGATGTCAGCAGCTCCCCATCCCCACTGTAAACAAAGCTGTAATGGTTAAAATCTGATCTCATAAATGAAATGATGTGATACATTTTCATCAACTTAATCATCAATGTACCAGCTTTTACTGCCTCAGTTTGGCCACTTTACACCTGTACCTTGTACATAGTTTCATAAAAAAAATTGATAGCTACTCACATTTAGTTCTCTACCCAATGTTTTATGACACAAGTCCTGCTGTTTGGTTTATAATATATTTCAGTTTTTTTACCCTCTGGCCACCTATGACCTCCCAAACTGGTTACAACTCAACTTTAGTCCCCTAAACCCCCCCCCCCCCCCCCCCACACACACACACACACACACAGACTTTTATCATTTATAGTTTACTGTAATGCTGTTGTTTTATTTAATGTTTTACAGTAAATCTGTTGTTCATGTTTGTTTTTACTGTGAAACACTTTGGCGTCTGTGAAAAGTGCTGTATAAATAAACTTCAATTTTAGTTTTGAAACACTTAAAAGTGTCTTGATGGATTTTGTCAGCTATATCTGAACAGATACTCATTTTTTCTGACTGTTTCTTTGAATTAGAAACTGAAGTGTATTTGATTATTTTATGTGTGTGTTGTTTTGGTCTGAGAATGTGGGGTAAACTTTTAGCGCTGAGGATAAACTTAAATAGTTTTTCTGTGTTTGAGGTGACCTTCAATTGTTTTCTGGTGTTTAAAAAAAGAAGCAGCGATAGAGGAAGGGACAAGAACCCTGTCCTTGCTCCTATCGCTATGGGATCAGTGGCCTGGCCTGACCACTTCCACAGCCAGCACCTCAACCTTATCCATCACCACTAGATAGTTATCACACCAGGGATGGAGGACATGTGAGATGTAGGGGTGAGTGCAGAAGAAAGAGGGGCTTCCTGCCCTGTGATCACACACCCTGACACAAACAAACAAACAAACAAAAGACACTTAGGGGCAGAGACAACTTCCTGTAGGCACAAATGAGCCACCTCTTGGTTTTGTTGAAATTAGAAGGTGTGTTTGTAAATGTGCCGTAAAGCACAAAAACTAACACACAAAGAACTTTACCTGAAAATAATATTAGTTCTAATTCTCCGTTTTACCTTTTCCACATTTTTATTTTTCCCATTTGAATCAAATATCTGTTGCAGTCTCAGCTTTGATGATCATCACCTGCTGTTTGCTGCTGGTAATGGGAGGCAAAGTGAGCCGCAAGTCACACGGCCTTGTGGATTGGGATTCGAGGGTCCCAGGGAAACTCGGCCCTGCTGGGTCAGAAAAGCCCCAGAGGCAACCCCCACTCCTGTGGCCTGACTTGGCTGGAACCTGGTACTTGACCTTCCTCAACAGTAGCTCCATCTCATGAGGGGCTGGCCTAAATGGAGAGTTGAAGACCCCTGGGCACTAAAGAATGGGGAATAGAAAGAGAGGTTGGCACTTTATTAACACAAATCATATCAGACCTTAACCAGTGACTAAGAAAATATACACTACCCACTTCTCCTATAATCTTTTCAAAAGACAAACATATGTTTTGTTGGTATTGGATGGATGGATGGATGGATGGAGTAGAAATTGATGCTAAATAGACTTCCAAATACTTGCTGTTGCATTTAAACACAAACAAAACTCTGCTTCATTGGTTGTAAAACTGGGTGCAGATAAGACACAGACTATAATTATTCAAATCACAATGATCCTTCTGCCTCACTGTTAATTAACAGACCAAAGCTTTGAGTCAGAGGACTCTCTGTCTACTTTATATGCTAATAACACTGCTTGCTATTTAAGCCACCCTAAAAGCCTGGGACAACAAAAAGAAAAGAGAGGAAGGACATAAGTAGCAAATTGTTCAAACTATATAAACTAAAACCTTACTCTTAAAAAAACATACAATTGCAGTCTACTTAATAATGAAATGCTTCATTATGTAGAGAAGATGTTCTTACATTTAATTAGAAACCATAGAATGTGAAATATAAAATATGAAATATCACCTTAATGGATCTTTGAGTTAATTTAACCAGAAGATCAGATCTTTTTATTGCAGGGATTGAGCAACACCTCGTATCAACTCCAAAGAAAGAGAGAGAGTCAGGTTTAAAAAGTAAAAATATTTATTTCTAAACAAATTAAACAAGACTAACTTTAAACACTATGTGATGATGAACTAAGCTGGAGTAAGACTAAGGATGGTGTGTGTGTGAAATATGTTCAGAACCAGCAAATCCGGAGGACTATTAGTTCTGAGTGGGAGTGAAAGGGTGTTTCGCTCTAAGCTTTTGGTTGGAGATTATAACACACATTGAGACGCCATCTGTCGGTCTGCGTACCCCAACGGAAGTCCCCGTTTAGATCCGGAATGTCAGGGGTCCAGCTTTAGACCCTCTTGGAACCGACGCCTGTAGATATGCAGCGGCTGCCGACCCTTCCAGTCTTGAGATACTCCCAGGTCACGACAGTTTATTGGCATCAGCGAGACCCTAGGGTCGTTATTGTTCAGCTTTTATTCTGAAGGAACTGTTGCAGCAGGTGGAACATGCAACAGATTTAATCCAGCTTGTTGTTAGGTTCTTTCGGCTTTAAGAGGAAAGTTACAGATAGACCACTCCGATAACTTCTCTAGAACGCTTTGAACTGAAGTTAAGATGACGTGGGGCATAGTGTTATAATTTGGATGTTTTTATTTACTGTCGAATCAGACTTTGACACAAAAGAGGATTTAACAAACACCAACAAAACCACGCCTCGCGTCAGATCTGGAAGGTTCTGATTGGATCAGAAAAAGGAATGTGCCATGTGATTTTAACATTACGTGCGATCAGTCTAGTATTTAAAGTTATATACTTATTATACTATCAAAGGACTATAATATCAAGTAATATTAATATTCTCATTTCACAGATTGATTGAACATTAAGCTTCACATGATTATTTGGACTAACAATGTTATTTGATTATTATTTAATAGTTTTCTTGGTCTTCTTTCTTCTTTCTTGTGCTGTCCGAGGAAGCAACAGTTTAGATAAGAGCACAGAGCATGAGTGGCCTTGGCCCATATCTTGTAGATTAGGCTTGTGTCAGAAACTCACGGTTTTGCTTGGGCAGAGCAAATAGAGCAGGGCCTTATAGGTCAAAGATGGACAGTTCATCTCGCTACAATTATTGTATAAAAAGAACTTCAATTTGACGCTAAGTGTTGACATTAGCAAAAATGATTTCACCTTTGAGACCGTGCTTACTTTAAAATTTGCATGGGCCATGCTACAACTGGAACATCCACATCTTTAGACGTTTATCTAACAGCATATTTATGCATCTTGTGGTCATGGAAAAGATAGTCTGTTTGAGAAGGGTCAGATCATTGGCATATATCAAGCAGAGAAAACATCTAAGGTGATTGCAGAAACGACTAAAACTAGGTTAAGAACCATCCAACGCACTCTTAAACACTGGTCTGGTGAGTCCAGATGGACCCTGTTCCAGAGTGATGGGTAAGAAGAGAGGCAGATGAAGTGATGCACCCATCATGCCTAGTGTCTACTGTACAAGCCTGTGGGGGCAGTGCTATGATCTGGGGTTGCTGCAGTTGGTCAGGTCTAGGTTCAGCAGCAGGATGTGCTTCAAGAATGAGGTCAGCTGACTACCTGAATATACTGAATGAGCAGGTTATTATATCTATGGTTGTTTTCTTCCCAGATGATGGGCATATTCCAAGATAACAACACCAGGATTAATCAGGCTCAAATAGTGAAAGAGTGGTTCAGGGAGCATGAGACATCATTTGCACACATGGATTGGCCACCAAATTAACTCCATAGAGAATCTTTGGGATGTGCTGGAGAAGGATTTGCGCAGCGTTTAGACTCTATATACAGAGTGTGGACTTTTCATTTTTTGTAGAAAAAAGCTGGAGAAACTCTGATGAAAAAAACACAAGAAATTCAGCAAAATTCGATATGAAATGTACCTATTTTAAATTAGTTGATACTTACAAAAGAATTGCACAGTCAACATGTTTAAACAGAATTTAGGTTAAAGCAATGTAGAGAAAAGTCATTGCATGCATGCAACTTTTTGATGATATGAAAACGGCAAACTAAAAGCCAAAATGAAACAATGGTAGGATTCATAAAGTCCTCTCCTGCTACATCCTGTAAAAGACTCCTTAGATAAAAACAAACAAACAAAACAAAAACAAAACAATCATCAAATGTTAACAAAACTTCAAAATGACAAAGGCTCTCAACTGGTTAATGTTATAATTGCTATATGGACAATAAATTATTTAATTTTATTGAAACTTTAGTTTGTGAATTTTATTATTGCCCAACACTAAAAGTAATACTCTCTGGAACAAAAGTAACACTGATGGTATAGAAAGAAAATGAACAGTTAAAGTAACAAGCTTGAAAGCTGAACACACGTATGCATAAACGCAAGCATGTACACACACACACACACACACACACACACACACACACACACACACACACACACACACACACACACACACACACACACACACACACACACACAAAAGTACCAAGCAACCTCTGAGAAGACCAATGATGTTGACCCTAAGAACACTGCATCTCTGTCTCTGTCAGAGGGACTCTGTGCCTTTTGGTAAGCTGTGTGTAAAAGTGTGTATGTGTGTGTGTGTGTGTGTGTGTGTGTGTGTGTGTGTGTGTGTGTGTGTGCGTGTGTGTGTGCGTGTGTGTGTGTGTGTGTGTGTGTGTGTGTGTGTGTGCGTGTGTGTGTGTGGGCTAGGGTCCTAGAAGTGAGGAAGGATGAACTGTGTGGAGAGCCATCTATCCACAGCTGACAAGGTCAGAGCTACTAAGGGAAAGATAGCCCTGCCATATGCAGAGAAAGAGGTGAGGCTAATACAGGAGATACATTTAGAAACCCAAGCATCTTTCCAGAATTACAGGTTCATCTGGAATCAAACAAAAAAATGTTACATCTGTGTGATAATGACTCCAGCAAACGCAAGGGACACTATCAAGAAGTACTTAGTAACCTAGGAGATGACAATGCGGGACACAAACGCATGAAGGAGAGAAAGATGGAAAGAAAGAGACAGAAAAAGTGTGAGGAGTGGTGGTGCCGAATCAACAGTGACCAGTGTGCTTTGTCTTCATTATGATCCCAGTGGGGAGTCACAGAGATTTGTAGATGCCACACACACACACACACACACACACACACACACACACACACACACACACACACACACACACACACACACACACCTGTGCCCATGGAAGCACTAAAATACTCCACTCAGCACATCAGAAGAGCCATGAGTATGGCGTTTAAAGCGTGCCACAACCCGTGCACGCGCATTGGGTCCACAGCGCGCGTGTGAACGGGACTCGCGAGCGCAAATATACATGGCGAGAGGTCATTTGTGCACTGAGAGGGAGCAAACTGTGTCTGTGAGCGCACAAGGATGTGCACAAGTGACAAACCTGCGTGCGCGCGTTGTCAACGAGCACACGGCAGAGGAAAACGTGCGCGCGCGGCAGCCTCTGTGCGCGCTCGGCAGCCTCTCTGCGCGCTCGGTTTCTGACTCCTGCTCGCTCGGCTGTAAGGGCTTTTGGCACTCTGGAGGCGTGGCCTGTGGCAGATCTTGTCTGTCCTCTGATTGGTTAGTTCACCCCGCACTTTACCCTCTATCTATATAAAAAAGTCTGATGTTCAGTAGTTGCTGGCATAGCTCAGCTGGGAGAGCGGGTGACTCTCGCCCCGGAGGATCCAGGTTCGAGTCCGGGCAAGGAAAATGTAGTAGACGTCATGTTAATTTTTCTTAATTTCAGGTATTTTACAGTTGTGACCGTTCAACTGTCATTAAACGTCCGAATGTTTGCTGGGCAGTGTTTTAAAAAGTGCACATAAGCTAGATGGTTTTAACCATATAAAATTACATTTTTTGTGATACTGGAAAAATACATACTGAAATAAAACTACTGATTGAAAACTTTATGACTGTGGTTGTACAATATATGACTCACTAATACACTGCAAACTCCCTTAGAGTGGGGCTTCCAGAGAGAGAGAGAGAGAGAGAGAGAGAGAGAGAGAGAGAGAGAGAGAGAGAGAGAGAGAGAGAGAGAGAGAGAGAGAGAGAGAGAGAGAGAGAGAGAGAGAGAGAGAGAGAGAGAGAGAGAGAGAGAGAGAGAGAGAGAGAAGTTCTTGCCTCATTAATGAATTGTTTATTTTTTTCAGTATTTAATTGACAAATTATCCTTTCAAATAATTAATTGATGAGTTACATAATTGTCCATTTAGAATTGTTGAATGGACTGAGTCAAGTTTGGTGCACTTTATATATTTCAAAACATGTTTTTTTTTATTTTAATGATGCATATAAATAATTTAAATCTTAATTTAATGAAATATTTCTATTTTTTCATTACCTCACCCTTGTTTTGACAAAAACGGAACCTTGCTGGATAATATCATGGAGAAACTATTTGTTCACAGTACATGGCTCAGTGAGGATCTGTGTAAAGGAGGAGATACTCAGAAATCTGTCTGCAGATTGTTACAACCCAAACTGGAAGTGGTGGGCTGTAATAAGAAAGGAGACCAAACAGAGGAGTGGGGGTTCAACAACTGATTTATTTAACAAAAGTAAGGATTTACTAAAGCAAGTTAGTGAACAGAAAATGGCCATCTCAAGGTTTTACTCGGATGCCCCTCAGCAGGGTGCAGCACTGTTGAAGGTCATCTGAATGAAAGCTTGATATGCAGTTTCTTTATGAAATGGACAATTATGTAACTCATCAATTAATTATTTGAAAGGATAATTTGTCAATTAAATACTGAAAAAAATAAACAATTCATTAATGAGGCAAGAACTTTTCTCTCTCTCTCTCTGGAAGCCCCACTCTAAGGGAGTTTGCAGTGTATTAGTGAGTCATATATTGTACAACCACAGTCATAAAGTTTTCAACCAGTAGTTTTATTTCAGTATGTATTTTTCCAGTATCACAAAAAATGTAATTTTATATGGTTAAAACCATCTAGCTTATGTGCACTTTTTAAAACACTGCCCAGCAAACATTCGGACGTTTAATGACAGTTGAACGGTCACAACTGTAAAATACCTGAAATTAAGAAAAATTAACATGACGTCTACTACATTTTCCTTGCCCGGACTCGAACCTGGATCCTCCGGGGCGAGAGTCACCCGCTCTCCCAGCTGAGCTATGCCAGCAACTGCTGAACATCAGACTTTTTTATATAGATAGAGGGTAAAGTGCGGGGTGAACTAACCAATCAGAGGACAGACAAGATCTGCCACAGGCCACGCCTCCAGAGTGCCAAAGGCCCTTACAGCCGAGCGAGCAGGAGTCAGAAACCGAGCGCGCAGAGAGGCTGCCGAGCGCGCACAGAGGCTGCCGCGCGCGCACGTTTTCCTCTGCCGTGTGCTCGTTGACAACGCGCGCACGCAGGTTTGTCACTTGTGCACATCCTTGTGCGCTCACAGACACAGTTTGCTCCCTCTCTGTGCACAAATGACCTCTCGCCATGTATATTTTCGCTCGCGAGTCCCGTTCACACGCGCGCGAGTCCCGTTCACACGCGCGCTGTGGACCCAATGCGCGTGCACGGGTTGTGACACGGGTATGACGCGATACATGAGGACGCACACTTACTCACATGTGCGCACACTCATCTTAACTCTACACAGCCCACCATTGTTGACCAGACTTTTCTAACTCAGGATAGCCCGTCTTTAGGGGATCTCTGTTTTTCAGACATAATCGCTTCTCATTCTGAACACATGTCACTTTGAGGGCATATGTTAAAAGTTAAAGTTTAAGGTGCATCCTACAGTTTTTTGCAGAAGTTGTAAAAAGCTGGATAAACAGATTATTTTACATATAATCTTCATGAATGCAAGGCTGGTTAAAATGTGAACTATCAATCAAAAAACTGGAGTTTTAATAAATGCGTTTTGAAATTAAAACATCATAAGAAGTTCACAGAATTAAAAAAAATATATTAAGAACTGACAGCTAGCTGACTGGGTGACATTTGTCTGCAACTCGTAGAGCAGCAGAAAAATTCTGCACAAATCTGGAGTAGAGCAACTCGTGTTTTGGACACAAAATGCCAAATCAAACATAACTTGGTGTGTCTGGTAAGAAAAAGCAAATATTTAAAAATAGCGTATCATTTTCACGGCTCTTTCTGCTCAGGTCACAGGAAGCTGGTGCCTAATGGGCCATTCCCATTTGTACCGGGTCGGCCCGGGCCGGGTAGCACCGGTCGGCCCCAGCCTGGCCCGGTTGATTCCACACATCCTTGCCTTAAGCCCATGTGGGCTGATTCTACCCACCAATCAGAGGCTTGCTCTAATGGAAGGTGTGAATTTGCTGTCAGCAGTGGGTGTGTTGGCCCTGGTCGGCCTGAAGTAGACCCCCTCGAGAAGAGGGCTGAGAATGAGCCTTGGTTGGCCCGGAAAAATACCAGGCCACCCAGATATGTAAACAACCTACGCTACCCGGCCCGGGCCGACCCGGTACAGATGGGAATGGCCCATAACTGTAGTTGCCCCCGACACACACACACACACACACACACACACACACACACACACACACACACACACACACACACACACACACACACACACACACACACACACACACACACACACACACACACACACACACACACACACATTTATATAGGCTATATTTAAGGTTTGTTTTAGTATTTATGTTTACTTCCACTAACCTGCTTTGTGCTGAGGAGGTGGTGTAACCGATGTGCCTGGTAGACTCTGGCTTGTTGCTCCTTTACCATCTCTTGATAATTCTTCCGTCTTTGCAGGAGTTCCACAGTCTCGTCCACTTCCTTCCTACCATAAATAAATAAATAAATAAATAAATAAAACATTAACAAAGACTTTAAAAAATATCAAACAATCTAATTTTTTTCAATTAAATTTTCATTTGTTAGGGTTTCGGTAAAAAATAAAAATACAGGAATAAAAAAAATTTAATAGAAAAAAAATCAATTAAAAAGTACAATAAACATGAAATTTCACCTGAACATTTTAACAAAACAAGATTGTATAAACATCAGATTGTCAGTACTGGAGATTTATTAGATTTGTGCCTGATGTAAATCTAACTTTAGTTTTTATGAATGTTATGCATGTTAAACACAGTCTAACGATTCCCTGAAGTGTTCTGCAAATTAGAGCAAACATACAACGAAACTAAAAAAAATAAAAGTACCAAATCATTCTGACAGGCATGAGAAGGAACTGTGGAGAGAAAACAAGGCAATGGGACAGCATGGTGGGACAAAAGCAAAGTGAAAGCATGAGAGGATATAAGTGGGAGGATGATGGATATGTTTCATCACCAGAGCCAGGACAGGTCCGTCTGTGACATCTGTTTAATGTAGCTGGCTAAATGGGATGCATTAAAACCCCATACACAGCTATTTCATCCTGCAATCACGCAGTCTTATTGTTACAAGAGGGCAATGACTTAAAAGGCAACTTGGAAACAATTACTAAAGCACACACGCCATGATAATTTGAAAAGACGCCCACAGAGCAAAGCGTAAAACCAATCTGTCTGCAAGTGCAACACCAATAAGAATTTAGTCATAGATCATCAACAATCCTGCATGGTTTTTACCCGTTTTTATTCTGTAATTCGTCTCTGCTGTTTCTTTTTTCCTACTCAACCTCTGTTTTCAATTACAAGCCTCCACATCGGAATCCTGATATTCAAAGTGTGTCTGTAATGTGAGGTTAACACATTCTGCGGCTGCTAACATTTAAAAAGGAATTACAATGCAGTACCATTGCCTTTGCATCCCCATTCCTTCCTGAGCACCAGATTAAATTACAAAATAAATGAAATATGCAGCGCTGTATGTGTGCAAGTGTGTAGAACGGCAAGGAGAACGTCCCAGTGTGTGTGTTTATGTAATATTAAACACAACAGTTTAACACAGTGCAGAGTTATGTGTGAGAGAATGAATATTGAGGTGGCTTGGCCTCTATTTGTCTGCCTATAGCTAACAGGGGTATTACTTATTAATGTGAAATATAAACTCTGAGTTTATTGTGAGGTGTGTGTGTGTGTGTGTGTGTGTAGTTATTTCTCTTCACATATGCATGAATATTACTTCACTAAACAAACATGTTTCCATGTTTCTTGTGTTTGAAAGGGTCTGAGCTGAAACATTTTAAGACTGGTATCATTGTGTGCATGTATATAAGAAATATATGCAAGTGTGTAAATGTGCTCTTGCTGAATGTATGTGCATATATGTGTCCATATCTGTCTGTGCATGTGTGTTTGTGTTGGTCCAGCTGAATAGGTGACCTTTGCCTCCCTGCCCCCAGTCCCAGTGTTATTAATTGCTGTGTAGTGGACAAAAGCCAAACAGATTTGTAACGGCTGAAGGCACCTCGATCTGTGTCGACCCAACCAGCCGCCACAACATACAACCCTCATTAGCCCTGTTCGGCAAGCGGCACATGCCCTCTGTTTGTGTGAGTATGTGTGTGTGTGCATGTGCGTGTTTTTAGATATGTGTGTGTTTGGACAAGTAAAAGCGGGGGAGCTACACTCTAGTTCTAAATATGTAATTTATTTTAGCAAAGGTTCTGTTTAGAAGTGGCTCGTGGATGAAAACAAAACCTTTTTCTTTTTTCATTGTATATATTAGGGCTGCTCAAATGATCTAATTTAAATCACAATTAATTTCTGAGTTTTGAACGATTATAAAAACAAAACAAGCTGATTATTTGCTCCTCCCTTGTGGTTTACTCCCACGCTACTACGAGTTGTAAATCAAGCGCACCTCCCACACAGTTTTCCCAACTTAACAACTTTGTTGCTATTTCTAACAACTTTTCAGACCTCCTTGACCTTCATTTCCAAAAAGCACCTAGAAATCAAGCTAGCAACATATTTGAAGACTCTAAGCTACTTTCTGTTTAAATTTGGCAGCGATATTCTCTGCAGGTTAGCAAAACACTCAGCTGCGCTCCGGATTGTCTCACAACACCGGACATTAGGAAAGGGAGGGAATGATGAGTGCATGTGCAGCACACGTTATGTCGACTGATGAATCTTAAACTTTCTTCAATGGAAAGCGCTCCGTAAAAAAACTATTGTTTTACAATCTAAATAAATTCAAGACACCTCTGTTTGTGAGTGAGTGTGTGTGTGCATGTGCCTGTGGATTTATACTTTAGCAGGGCTGCTAACTCTCCCACGATGAGCGTGAGATATGCATTTAACCATCTTCATGAACTCTTACACAACACCTCCAGTTTCTCACACTGATAAATAATAATAGTTCATCTATATGTGTGACATATTGCATCATGCTGTTGTACACACTCCTATGGCACCGCTGGACGGGACTAAATAAATATTATAAAAACATATACATAGATGTGTTACGGCTGGAGCCTTTTTGTGTTGTGATTTCATTTTTTTGTGCTACGGCTGGAGCCTTTTTGTGTTGTGATTTCATTTTTTTGTGCATTTTATGTTGCATCTGAGGAGCCTGCCTGCAGACTATGTTGGCTCACCCTTGCTCCTCCCTGCACCAGCTGAGCTGGGTTTTCATCAGCCGCAAATTGTTTAAAGGACCAGCTGGAGCTCCTCACCAATGGGGACAATAGTGCAGAGCTGCCTTTCCTCTGGTCTGTTGTCTCCCACTTAGAACTTCGATATTGTGCTCTTACTGTTTGAACCTGTTTTGGTAAAAGTGGATTTAGATCCGTGGTGGTTAAAAGAATAATAGTCATCTTTTCTGAATTAAGAGAAATTAAATAAAACCTTTGTTAATTTTCCTTTGTGTCACGCGTCCTCCATGTTACCCCAGGCCCCCTAGACACCTGGTTGTAACAAGATGTTTATATTTTTTATTTATTTTATATGAGAGATGTTTGCACTGTATAGCTCTCTTTTGTTGTCAGTATTGGGAGTACTGGTTGAGTATGTATTGGATAGGCTTAAATAAGTTAAACTCAACGTTGAAATAAATAAAATCAATGTTGATTAAATATCGTCTTGAATAATCGAGATCTCAATGTCAGTCAAAAATAATGGTGATTATCATTTTTGCCACAAATGAGCAGCCCTTTTGTGTATATATATATATATATATATATATATATATATATATATATGTATGTATATACACACACACACACACACACACACACACACACACACATATATATATGTATATATGTGTGTGTGTGTGAAATGAATCAAATAGGGTCAATTTTCACCATCGACACAGCATAACCTTTCATACACGCCAGAGCTGCAAAGTCAAGGTTACGCCAGCTGGAGGATCCAGACGCACAAATCAACCTTTTGCTCACTTATTGTTCTTCAACGCAGACATAAATAAACTGCCAAGGCCTCCCGCAAAAGCCTTATCTCTCTGCGTAAAACAACAAGATGTTTAAATGAAATGTTTGAATAATCTGTGCTTAAATCAATGAAGTTGAAATGAATGTTGCTCTTACAATGATCCATTGCAGATCTTATGAACAGTATGTGTTTGATTTAACAAGTTAATCATTATCTACACTCATACAGTACACATCTTCATGAGATACAAATTAAGGTTAAGATTCACCTCCCATAAAGTTTAAAGATTCTTATTCACAGTGTTAAGAATCTTGTATCTGAAGGAAGGAGTGACTTTGTGAGGAATGTTTAGGTAAAGCCTACCAGACATGGCACATTCTGATATGCCAGAATGCACCAAAAATCATAACAAAGTAGTTTGATAAAACAAAAATTACTTCCCGAGTAATTCAGTTTCTAGCGGAGTTCTGAACCGTCCAATTTGGGACAAGCATCCTTGAGACATCTCTTTTGATATACAGTCAAAACCCTGTTTGCACGCTGCAAGCTGACACAGCCAGACGGCTTCCTAAGAGCTACATCCACTTTGGATGCAAACAAGCATTCCAGCTGCTGTTGTGACCTGGAGACATCTTAAGACTGGACTGGTCGTATCGAAGTTAATCTACTGGCTCGTCCGGATGTGCTGGGGGTCCCTGCCAGGGTTTGTAGACACAACAGATTGCGTCTGATGCTGTTTTATTAATAAGCAACTCTCTAGTTTATAGCAGACAACAAATTCTTTTACACACAGATTTCAAAATTTCTTTCAGATACAAAGGTTCTGATAAACATCTAGCTTCCATCACACCACCTACACATCACATTCCATCACCGCATATTACGTCTCATTATTCATATCTTGTCATGTATACTCATTAGTTTAGAAAAGAATAAAGTTCCTTTTTAACTATAAACCTGACTCTGTCTGAATTAATATGAAGTGTGTTTATGGTCCCTGAACAAGTAAAAGTAACTATAATCTTCTGATTAAACATTCAAAGATCAATCAGATTGATATTTCATATTTATATGGAATCATCACACCTTATTGGTCATAATTAGTTGCAGTCATCATGTTATAGAATGTGACTGCTCTCTCTCTCTCTCTCTCTCTCTCTCTCTCTCTCTCTCTCTCTCTCTCTCTCTCTCTCTCTCTCTCTCTCTCTCTCTCTCTCTCTCTCTCTCTATATATATATATATATATATACACACACACACACACACACACACACATATATATATATAATTGAGAAATTCATTATGTTCCCACAGTAGATGGTAAAATTGATGTCTGATGGCTTTTGAACTTCCGAACATGCTAATCTGAACTACTTTCAGATGACTGAAACCCCTGCTGACATTGTCACCCTGCACTTTTAATTTATTTAAATGGTTTATATAGTACAGCTCCATTCTCTTACTTTTTCTTCAAAAATGAATTTTCTAGTTCACA